CGTCAGGGCGGTTTTCGATGCGATCATTCGCAGCGCCACACGGTAAGTGCGTGGATGCATTATGCAGGTAGCCGTGTGGGTGTGGGGGATGGGGTGGTGTTGGGTCGGGGGTTGGGGGGGGTCACGCGCTAGGTGGAGGGCATTTGGAGATGTTGTGAGTCAAGAGGGAGACCGCAAAGCTGCAGGCGGCAACAGGAGGGAGGGGGAAGCGGCAGCGGCTCTGGCGGTCGCTGGGCCGAGATCACGGCTGCCGGATCACTGCCCGTCCGACGCAGCGCCCACGAGCCGTCGAGCAAACCACCTAACCTCCGGACGACAACGCCACATCCAAACCCACCGGAAATACACGAGCCCCACCCTCTGCCCGCTGCCGCTGCCGCCGCCACCAATCTTCAGCTCCCCCGTGTCGCCGTCCACGCTGCACCGCTCCGCGATCTGCGCGAGCGTCAGGCGCACGGTCCTTATACCGTGCGCCTCCCACAGCGTCTGCTGCAGCCACTGCTGGTCGTACGCGTTCCTCTCGCCCGGCTGGACGACCATGATGACGTCACCGCCCCCCGCCGCGCCCGCCGCCGCCGCCATCGCCGCCGAGATGCGCGCCATCGCGTCGTTCGGCGGCAGGCGCGCGGCCAGCTCGGCGGCGGCGGCGGCGGCGGCGGCGCGGCCGAGGATGTGGGCGTGGAGGCGGCTGGTGATGGTGCTGAGGCAGGCAAACGACGACGCGATGGTGTTGAGCTCCACCTGGTGATGCAATTTGGGGTTTTGGGTTGACAGGTTGCGGGTGTCATGGTCGTTGCAAGTAGTGCAGGCTGTGCGCGTGACTTGTTTACAGGCTATGATGATGATGATGATGAATGTTGGGGTTGCGGTGTTTTGGACCGCCAGCAGAAGCCAACTGCAACGACTTGTGCCGCACACACGCAGGAACGTTCGGATGCGCTTGCATGCCCACAAGCGCCCGTGCGAGCATGCACCGCACGCACGCCACGTCAGCACGCACATGGGCGCATACAGACGCGCGTGCAGGCTTGTGCACTCGCATGTTGCACACCTCATCACACACACAAGCGCACACATGCACACGCACACGCACACGCACACGCACACGCACCTATGCACGCATGCACGCACACACACTCAAACACACACACACACACACACGCACACACACTCACACGAACACATGTGCACAAACACTCCAACATACACACACAAGATCGCACACCATACATGGCACAACCAACCCCGCCCACATCCCCAAAATCACCCGCGAGCTCAAGTAATCACATGGCGGTGCGACGCATTCAAGCCACAACCAACCTGCAAGAACCCCCCACTGGGCGCGTCGAGCATGTAGTCTGAGCGGTGCACCCCCAGCACTACCTCCCGCCCCGCCAGCCGCCGCCGCGCGGCGCGGCTGTCCCGCAGCAGCCGCAGCAGCCGCCTGGTGAACTCGTCAAACCCCGCGGCCTGCCGTGCGGATTCGGCGGGCGTTGCGGACGTTGCTGTTTTTGGGGACCCTTTCACCCCGGACCAGGGTTGCATGGGACGGCATGCGCATGGTTGCTGAGCTCCCGGCTTTGCATTGCGACCGCTGCTGAGCGGTCCGTCTGGCACCCCCGGCGTTGCGACAGGCAGCGTGTTTCGGCTTCCGGCCCAGCCGCCAGGAAAACCGATGCCGCAGCAGCGTTCCTTCTGCCACGGCCCACGGAGACCACCAAACACGAGGGCCTTCCGCAGCGTTGCAGCAGAGTGCTGCAGTCTGTTGTTTTGGCCCCCACCTGCTCCAGGGTTTGTTGGAGGTATTCCTCATCCCGCGCCACCTTGTCGATCAACGTGCTGAACAGTGGCATGCACGACACCGCCTGCGATCGGGAAACACCGGGCGCGGTGCCGCGCCCGCAGCCGGCCGCCGCCGTTGAGGGCGAGTGGCGCAGAGGGGCGTCGGGCGCGGGCCTGGCAGGAGGAGTGCGACGCTCTTGCTGGCGGCGTTGATCGCGTTGAATTCATGCGCGGCACCAGCCAAACACTGCCTGGCCCCTGCCAATCAACGAATGACTCTTAGCGTCATGGGGCGAGGGGCCGGGGGCAGGCGGCTGCTCACCAGGTTGAAACGATCCTCTGGGAAGGCGACAGGCAGCACCGACAGGGGCGCGTGCACCAGCGCGCAGGCAGGCACGCCGCCCAGTCCCACGACCTGCGGGATGCGCCGGCAGGCGCGAGGGCGATGCGGCGACGCTGAGGCTCGGCTGAGCGATATGTCTGCGAGCTTCCGCCCAGGGCCTTGCTGCCATATCTCATGACCTCGGCAAAGAGCTGTGCAGGCGCAGTGGCGTGTGGGGCACGCGAGCTTGGTGCGTCCCAGGTGGCGTATGTAGCACCAGGCTGACCCCGCAGGGCATAAGATATGTACCCACCAGACCGTGCTGGCTGGCCCACACCACAGCGTCGTCTACCAGCGCCTCAAGGCGCGGATCTGCTGCCGCTGCTGCCGTCATTGGCGTCCGTGCCGCGTGGCCGCTCCTGCTGCTGTGGCGCGACGGTGCCCGTGGCTGTCGCAGCGCAGCAAGGGCCGGTGGTAAGCGAGCTGAGAGGTGCTCTGATTGACCTCGGCTCAGAGGCGACTGCGCCAGGCGGCGCATTGACGCGAGTTGGGCGATCCGGGTTTGAGTGTGTCCAGATCAGAAGTGCACCCAGAGCTGTCTAAGGGCTGTATCTACAGCTATACGGTAAGCAACCAGGGCCCACAATTCGCACGTCCCTTCGCGATCTAGGTGGTCTATTACAGTACTGCTGCACGGCTCGCCGCTCGCGACTGCCCGGCACGACGTTGTACCTCTACGCACGACCACGTACAAGTCAACTCCAAGTGCACATATTTGCCGGCAGCATTGCGGCTTCAGAATCGCGGTGGCAGGCTGAAGGCCAGTCAACACATGCACTGGGGATGTCAGCACCAGGCTGTCACGGATGCGACGCTCCAGTGAGCGATCCAGCGCATACTGTGCTGCGAGCTGATTTATCGAATTGCCGGCCATGCGGCAGCTAGGCGTGCCGATGGCCGCTGATTGCGCTTGCATGCCCACAGAGCCCTTTGCAATCGAAGGACTGTCCACCACATCACGAGCTGCGATAACCAACAGGGCACTCAAGGGCGCCACTAGGCGCTGGCGCGCCAGAGGCACCGAAAGAGCACCACTGCAGAGCAGGCCAGGACGGCGCCTGCCAGAACGCTACTAGCAGGAGTCCATCCATTTGACACACCAGGGTTGGCAGGTGCCTGGAGCTGCTTGTCCCCAACCACCCCCGCAGCTGCGTGCTGTGCTGGAAAGCGCTCTGAATCTGCCACCGCGGCGACCTGCTTGGCTGCCACGCGTCCCTCAGCCTTGGCCGCGCTCGTCGCATCAGCGCTCGCAACACCCCAGTCAGCCTTGCGGGCCTGAAAGGGTGCGGCAGCCAGCTTGTCCGCTGCCTCCTCGTCCACAACAGCCCTCTCCGACGACAGCTGTTCGTCCTGGTCTTGCACCGCTGCAGCGGTCTGAGCACCTGCCACCGCCTGCTCAGCTGAAGGGCTCTCGAATCCTGCTGCTGCCCGTGCTGCAGCAGGTTCATGCTCAAGTGACGGTTGGGGGGCGCCAGCCTGGGCGTTGGAAGCAGCCGTAGCACAATCATCCGCCGCAGGATGACCAGCTGCCGCTGCCGTGATTGCTGCCGCCAGCCCCTGTGCAGTAGCTGCTGCTGCGGCGGCTGCAGCAGCCGCTGCGTGCTTGGTCGCCCCTGATTGAGCAGAGCTCGACTGTTGCTGATGCTCGAGACTTTCTGAGGCCGCGTTGAAGCTGCTGCTTGGCGGCCCCAAAGTGACGACCGCTTGTGTCGTCAACGCCGGCCGCGAGGGCAAAGCCAGGGCCGAGGTTCCAATTGCAGGCGACTGATGCCAGCCGTCGCTCAATGATGCACGTGCGTCCAGCTGCCCGCCAGCAGCTCTGATGTACACAGCGTGTTTTGGTGAGGAGCTTGGCTTGGAGCCTGGAGGACTCACTTGATTGCAGCCTGTGTGGTTGACGCATGGAAAATAGCGCACCGCAAAGAGAAGGCGCTCCATCAAGCAAACGCAGGGGCATTGCATGCTTGATTGCTAATGGGCTGTGCGTCCCCTGGGCGTGCAGGGAGGCGTGAAACCAAACTCAGGCTATGCCGCCGCCCTTGCTCACGTGCAGCAGCTGCCTGTGTTGTCTGCGTCCCAGAGTCCAAGCACAGCCGTGCAGAATCCGGCAGAGGGGCACGGGGTGGTAGCAAAGGTGAGCAGCCAAGCTCATGCATCGCGTTGCAGCAACCATGACTACAGCTCAGCACGGCGTCCTGAGCACCATGCTTGACATCCTGGGGTCGCGTGCGTGCTGAGTACAGACTGCACGTTTCATCTGATTGTCATCGGGCGTGCAGAATTACCTCGTAGCTGTCCACTGGCAGCGCTGCACTGGCCACCTTGGTTTCACCCGTGCCGCCTGCGAGCGGCGCAGCGGCAGGTGCGCCGGGCCTGTCAGCTCGCCCTGCCACATAATCCAGTCAAGGGCTGGACATGGCATCAGCAGCATAAACAACACGTGGAGCCCTTGATGGACAGGGTGACCCACCACCGGGCGCCCTCTTCTGCTGGTACTGTGCAGCGAGCGCCGCAAAGGGGCTTGCTGCGTGGGAGGTGCACGGCGACCTCGGGGGCGGCATGTCGCCACTCTGAAGCGACTGTCAGCTGTTTTGTAAGAGAAGTGATGAATTTTACATTCACGCATACACGGTCTCCGCAAGGCTGCTGCCCGTTTCCACGTTTCTCAATAGCAGAAACCGTTCCGGCCTCGCGGTCAAACACCGACCACTCCTTTCTCGAGATTGTCATGCAGCATTACGCTTGAATGCGGTTCCTAGATGCTGCTGTGCTTCCCGCCGTCATCCTGGCATGGGCGCTGGGGGCGGGGGAAGGATGCAGCGCACCCCATTCAGGCGAGCTTCCTACAGTACGATCTTACTGCCCCGGTAGCCCCAGCACTTGGGGCCATGATGAGATGACGCTTGAGAGGTTGACACTGCCCAGCAGCAATGTAATGTTGGGCCGCTGTCACACAGCCCCTGACGGCACCCTGGGTTAGAGCTGCCTTATGCGCTGCCAATGTTGCACGTCGTACAGAAGTGACGCGGGAAGTTTCGCGTGTCCATTCACATGCAAGGCGGACAGGCCTGCAGCACCAGCAGGCGTCCACAGGTATCAAGGTGGGCGGGAGCAGCATGACAAGGGGCTCATGGTGTGTGGTTGCGCTTTCATTGCTGAGGGAACCCGGCTGTATTTGGCTGCGCTCCAGCGAGGGATGCAGCACACCGGTGGGCATGTTTCTCAGAGCGCACTGCGAGAAGGGACCCCGGCTGTGTGCAGACGATTGGGGAGGCTGCCCTCAACTTCCCTCGACTCCCTAAATCTGACGATGAGTCATTACCCTAGCTAGTGCTCGCTCGGACTTGCGTGTGCTCGGAACCCGTGCATACAAGGCGCCAAGCCGATCAAACTGGAGGTACGTACAGCCACGTGGCGGCAAATATTCGTGTGGTCTGCCGGTTGCGCGGCCAGCCTAGGCGCGGCTGGGCTGGGAAAAGGGTTAGGGACGGCAGCGGCGATGAACAGCGGCACACTGGTCAGGAGAGGGCGAGTCCTGGGGCGGCAACGATCAGAAGCACTGGAGTGGCTCGCCGGCAGCGGCGGCGGTGGGGAGTGGTCACACAGCTACAAGACACAATGCTGCAACACACAATCGGCTTTGCCCGACAACGCCCAAAAGTGAGGGCGCGCGGGCTGACAGCTCGGACTGCGAGGTCAGGCGTCCGC